GGGGGGGGGCGCCGCCCCCATGCCCCACCAAGATTTCCGCCACTGGTCATGCTTATAAAGCCAAATAAAGCAAGCAAGCATTGCAGCTCAACAGGTTAACTAGAGACATTGTCAGATTTTTTGGTCAACCCATTGAGCTGCAGAGCTTTCCCCTTGAAGAGTAAAATCAAGGGTGGGTTGACTACAACATTTTTGTAGTTCGCTATAACTATACAGCTACTTCAAAAATATGTAGTCAGCTACAACTACTGCTACTTTTGAACAAAAGTAGTTCGCTATTGACTACAGCTACTGCTTAAAAAATGTAGCGAACTACTGTATTTCGCTACTCTAAAATTTTTTTAGTTTTACGGTATTTGGGCTCAGGCTGTAATTTAACCTATAACAAATCAATTTACGAGCAGCAACAGTAAACAAAAAGGGTCAAAGAAACATTTTTGTAAGCACTATACAGTGTTCAGGAGTGCCACTTTTCATTGCGCTAAAATAATCTTTACTGTATAAAATAATCTTTTAAGCAAACCGTGTCTTAATATCATTATATTCTACAAACGGTTGCTAACAATTTTAAAAAGTAGCGAATAGCGATTCGCTGTTTGAAAAGTAGTCAACTACTTGGCTATTTTTAGGCAAAATGTAGTTCGCTATAACTGCAACTACTGTTTTAAAAAAGTAGTCAAAAACTACTGGTTACTTGAAAATTGTAGTTCGCTACAGTAACGAACTACGTAACAACTACTTCGCTACTACCCACCCTTGAGTAAAATCATCTGGGATGCATTGCAGCTCAATGTCTAATAATACATTTTGTTGCAAACCTGTAATGGAAGCCAATGTCGTGATTCCCTGGCACTATGTACAACTGAACATCGGTTGGATGATGGAATATATCATGAAACCTCGATATATATTGTTCCCATTCCTAGCAATAGAATTATTATTGTACATTAGGAAGAGAAATATTAATTAGCTACTGAAATGTCTGTCGGGCACATAAGCATATGAGACAAAAAAAAAAAATTTGGAAGACTATGGAAATTCTGGCAAATGCTAGGAAAAATGAAGAAAATTTGGGCAAATATATCACAAAATACATTAAATTTTGGTCATTTCATTTCAATATTTGACAAAAATTTGGGTAAATGTTCAAGTGCCTGGAATGCCCCCCCCCCTGGAAGGTTCAGGCCATATGGCGTGTGCTTAGTCAGGCACAACCTTTTCACCACGTCCTTTTGGTCAGGCAAAACAAGCTCACACACCCCCCTCCCCCACCGTAATACCCAAGTTACGGCCCTGGGGCATCCCAGATGTTTTCTCTATTAAAGTGGCTCTACTCACCTCATCGCTACAAATCATGCCTTCGTCGAATATATCTCCTAATATAAACACAACTTCAGGTTGAAAATAATTCATCGCCGTTTGAAAACTTCTTTTTATCTGCCATTCCCGACGTAGTTTATCGAACCAGTGCCCGTGCTGTGATCCAAGCAAGTGTGGATCTGACAGCAATATTGCCCTTATATTTTGACTTTTGTCCATAAATTTGCCGTTTCTAAAACTGCCTTGCTCTTCCAAAAGCGGCCACGAACATTGGTAAATAACAACGATGTATATTAAGTATTCGCAGGAAAGAAATATGATGCATATACAAGTTAAAAATCTCTTCACAACGTCCTTGATTTGCAACATGTCAAAACTGATGTCAAAGTTTTGTCAACTGAAAAGCCTTTTACTCTTTGAGAATAAGCTATTATCTGTAGCCATTATCATCATTTTATAATATATTGTTAAATATATAAAGAAAGAAAAAATAGTGCTTTAATTAATTTAAATTAAAAATCACAAAATTCAAACTATTTTCCTGTCCAAAAACTCAATTTGAACCACTTTGTACTAAGTTACACAAAGTACCAACAAGAATTAGCCACGAAATTGCAGACGCATTCCCGAAGAGATAACCACTGAGGAGATAACCCGATGAAGAATTACGGAATATGCCGACGACGCAAATTATGCAAATAGTAATATGTTTTGATTATAACTTTTTCGTTTAAACAATTGGACATTGTCAAAAAGAGATGTTAAAAAAAAAAACACAAGAAAAAACCAGTTGGTTTTTTAAACCATTGCAATAAAAAGACGCAAGCGCGATTGCGCGAATAAAGCATAAAAATTAAATAATAGATATTTCATATCTATTATCTCTAAGGAATAAAAGCCCCTACAAAATGGACTTACGTATAGTCAAACCGGATGTTCTCTTGCGAGCAACATTGCAATATTGTCCCAGAATATTGCAGTTTTGATAGGCAGATTGCTCAGAGCAATTTGCAACCGACGCAAACAAATTGCAAGTTGAAATTCACAAAAGATTTGTAAACAAAGCATCTGATTGGACTATAAGAAAAAGGGAAGCCAATCAAATAGTCTGAGCAACTGGATTAGGCTTTCCTCTTTCTTATAGTCCAATCAGACGCTTTGTTTACAAATCTTTTGTAAATTTCAACTTGTAATTTGTTCGCGTCGATTGCAAATTGCTCAGAGCAATCTGCCTATCAAAATTGCAACATTGTGGGATGATATTGCAATGTTGCTCGCAAGAGAACATCCGCTTTGACTGTAACAATGCGATCCAACCCAATTCAACAATTTTCAAATGTTTTTTTACTGTTTCTTTAAAGCAAAAATTTTCAATTCGGGTAAATCTAATGAACTTATCCAAAAAGATTTTAGAAATATTTCAACATTGTTGCCTGATGTCCGATCGCTTTGAAAGGGAAAGTGGTTGGGCATGATCGCTGTGATAGAAAACTAGAATTACTGAATTATTTCCGTACATTTTATCATTTTCGTGCGCCATGTCGGGCTTTGAAAGCCTGGGGCCGGTTGTATAAAAACGTAGTTAGCGCTAACTGCAGTTAAAAAGTAGTTAAAAAGTAGTTAAAGTTAACTATGCTTTAGGGTATAGTTAACTGTCCAAAACGTAGTTAAAAATGGCGTTTGTATAGGAGTGAACAACATTTTTCAGTAAAACAATAATGAAAAGCAACGCTTACCTGAGATTTTCAATCGCTATCTTTCTTGTGAATGTTTCCTGACAATATAAATTCTTCAAACGCTATCGCTTTGGTATTTTTACGAAAACAGAACATATTTTTGCACAGGAGGATTTCTCGAAGACGAAGTATGGTCCATTACACCTAGAAACACTGATATATAATTGCAAAACAGCTATACCTTGGTTTAAAGTAGACATCTCAAGGAAAAATTGCATTCTTTTATGATTTTTGTGGCGGTTTTTCTTTATTTTTTGTTTATTTTTCACTGTTTTCTAGTGTTTTGAATAAAATTCCCGCCTATTTGCAAAACACGAATACACAATCGTGTTGAAAATGTGTGTCAGCGGTCGTTACTCGCTGCTTACTTTATGTAATTTTTTGTTTAAACGCCCCACGCAAGCCCCACGCACAGTTAACTACGTGATTAGTTAACTATCCGACTAACTACGTTTTGTGCAACGCAGTTAAGTCATGTAGTTAACTAATTACAGTTAAGGATTTAACTACAGTGATTAACGCTAACTACAGTTAGCGCTAATTACGTTTTTATACAACCGGCCCCTGTTGGATAAGTTTCATAAGTCATGACTCGCGCAAAATGGCGAGCAGCACGCTGGGCACAAAACGCGCACGCTGATTGTGATGCACACACAAGCAGAACTTAGATACAAGTTTTGTACAAGTACTACAACTTGTGGTTTATTCTTCCATAGGGGAAAGGTTGCGAATTCGATTACACCTCGGTGGCCACTAGCTTTGACCATGGGATTTTCTTTGGTCATTTCATGTTGAAACGAGCTGGTCTCCTCGCGAATCGCGTCAAGCATTTATGAATCCATGGCTCTCAAATACTCAAATGCCGCGTTGGTCCACTATGGTCAACATTGTTGTTTCCTGGCATAGTTCTGTAATTCCCGTCACCAGTTAAAGCATGAATATGACCATTCGTAGTAACAGGTCCTTGAATATTATCAAATGATAGAAGTTCAGGAAAATTTGCGTCTATGCGATCCAAGAGGACTTGCTCTCCTGTTTGATAACACCTCTGCGCTTCTGTGAAATCCTGTAGTTCGTATTCCTCTTGTTTCCGACACCAGTACCACATGCGTTTCCATGAATTGTGGCACATCTCGAATAGCATGTGACGTGATTTCACGGCATATATAATAAACACGCCCAAAATTAAAACGAGAGGAATAATACAGAATAAAGCGATGAGCACGTAACACCAAACTGGATAGAAAAGATCTTGCATTCCCTGGAAGTGAATATAACGTCATATATCAATTACGACTGCTAGATTATCGGTTCTAAACTGTTCTTCCCAGAGATCCTGTAAAGATCATCTCTTATTGATCCAGTGTTACCACAGGAGGAAACCTAAACTAAACTAACTTTATTTATACTGGAGGTCCAGTAAAGATCATGTCTTATTGATCCGGTGTTACTACAGGAGGAAACCTAAACTAAACTAACTTTATTTATACTGGATACCTCTATCAGTTCTAAACTGTTCTCCTTAGAAGTCCAGTAAGGATCATCTCTTATTGATTCAGTGTTACTACAGAAGGAAACCTAAACTGATCAGTTCTAAACTATTCTTCCGAGAAGTCAAGTAAGGATCATCCGTTATTGATCTGGTGTTACTACAAGAGGAAACCTAAACTAAACTAACTTTATTTATATACACTGGACAATTCTATTAGTTCTAAAATGTTCTTCCTAGAAGTCAAGTAAGGATCATCTCTTATCGATCCATGCAGTGTTACTACAGGAGGAAGTCTAAATTAAACTAACTTTATCTATATAGTTTATGTACATCAATAAATTTTTACTTTTAAAACAATACGATACGGCGCTATAAATAGTAACTTAAACACAACGCCAAAATAATTATATAATTTATATTGGAGCTAAGGCGCGGCGCGAAAAGTAGGCGTATTTCGTTTCTTGATGTGTTGCCTTCTAAGCCTCGACTGCTCGCAGTCTGAGTGATGAAAGACACATGCATTAATCAATGTGCGACCAACAAGCTGCCGTTAATTCTTACCGTAGAAGGCTGCCACGCGCTGTACAGATATCCCTCAGTGTTTGCCAAGTCGTACAAACTTAAAACAATCAAAGCGACCAAAATGGCGGGAGATATTACAAACCAACACACAATCCAAACGACATGAAGTTTCTCGCCCGTCATTTCTTCAACCATTGTACAAAAACTGAAAAGAATAAAACTTATAAACTCACTTGCCAATATCGAACTAAATTCCTTGTTATTATAATGAATAGTTTTGTTAGTTCTAACCTGTTTTCTTAAAGGTACAGGAGGAAACCTAAACTAAACTAACTATATTTACACTGTATTGCTTTATCAGTTCAAAACTGTTCTCCCTAGAGGTCCAGTAAGGATCGTCTCTTATTGATCCAGTGGTATTACAGGAGGAAAACTAAACTAAACTAACTTTATTTACACTGTATTGCTTTATCAGTTCTAAACTGTTCTCCCCAGAGGTCCAGTAAGGATAATTTCTTATAGATCAAGTGTTCACTACAGGAAGAAACCTATAAAATAAACTAACTTTATTTATACTGGATAGCTCTATCAGATCTAAACTGTTCTCCATAGAGGTCCAGTAAGGATCATCTCTTATTGATCCAATGTATACTACAGGAAGAAACCTAAGCTAAACTATAACTTTATTTATACTGGATAGCTCTATCAGATCTAAACTGTTCTCCATATAGAGGTCCTGTAAGGATCATCTCCTATTGATCCAGTGTTACTACAGGAAGAAACCTAAGCTAAACTATAACTTTATTTACACTGGATAGTTCGATCAGTTCTAAACTGTTCTCCCTAGAGGTCCAGTAAGGATCATCTCTTATTGATACAATGTTACTCCAGGAGGAAACCTAAACTAAACTAACTTTATTTATACTGCATTGCTTTATCAGTTCCAAACTGCTCTCTATAGAGGTCCAGTAATAGTTATCCACTATTATCCTATACGAATTAAGACATACGTATTACAACTTCAACTCTCAACGTTTATTTTCACTCACTTTTTCCTGCCAAAGAGACAGATTACTGACAAAATTTCGAGCAGGGCGATCCATTGCAATGAACAACCGGAGTAACCGTGAAAAAGATTGACTACATAGAGACCGCTATCAGTGACGAATATTAATCCCAAAAGACACGAGACGAAGCACACAAGAGCTACAAAGAAAAACAATATTTATGATGTTGATTATCAATAAGAATTATACTTCTACAGTGCACAATTTAATTAAATTACTACTATTTATTATATAAAGCATAGTGCTTTAAATAGTACTTCGAGCACTGATAAAAGTGATAATCACATGTGAAAATTATCGCTTTTCAATCATCGCTGTTCTGTAAAAATTATCGCTTTTCAAAGACTGTCCTTTACATAATAAACAGAAAAATACATGGGTGCTGGTGCTTGGAAATACCAGAGTGCTTTATCAGATCTTCAAAAACGAGTCGATTTAGTAAGTTCATTGGCAAAGTAATTTTCAAAAAATACGTTGTATAAGTCGAGAAAATCAAAGTTAAAGTTTATGTAAATCAAGGGAAATCTCTATCACATGTAAAGATACGACACGCTTATGATTTTTCTTTAGATATAACTAGATATAACTGGACCTCTAGAATCGAAAAAAGTGTACAATTCATATTACCAGCAGCATATTGTTGTTTTAAAGCAGTCATCTCTCGTATAAACAGAGCCACGACGAGCACCATTCCTGACATGCTTCCCAAGCCAGAGAGGAAAAGTAAGAAATAACTAAACGAAGACCACAATGGCGGGTGCGCAATATGAGTAAAACTGTCACTCCAGCTTATGAACGCCAACGAAAATGCATCTGGGATCTACACAATAGGAACATTTTTGTCAGGAAGATACATTACTGAGCAAAGGTTGGCAAATTCTTTAAATTAATCTATAGTTTGTTTATCAATTAAATTAGTTAATTAGCTAATTCGTGTGATTTAATATTAGTTGGCAAGTTATGGTAAGTAATGGTAATTCGTTAGGAAGAGTTGCTTGGCTACTTAGCTGCTTGCTTAGATAGTTCATTAGTTAGTTAGCTACTTAATTAGTTAGTTAATTAGCTCCCTAGTTCATTAGTTAGTTCATTAGCTAGTCAGTTATCTAGTAAATCAGTTAGTTAATTACTTACTTACTTACTTAATTAGTTAGTTAGTTACTTCACTAGTTAATTAGTTAATTAGTTAGTTTGTTAACTAGTAACTCAGTTAGCTAGTTAATTAGTTAGTCAGTTAGCTAGTTAATTAGTTAATTAGTTAGTCAGTTAGCTAGTTAATTAGTTAATTGACTAGTTAATTAGTTACTTAGTTAGTTGGCCAGTTAATTAGCTAGTGAGTTGGTTAGCTAATTAGTTACTTAGTTACTTTCTTAAGCAGTTAGTTAGCGGTTGGCTAGTTAATTAGTTAGTTAGTTAGTTGACTAGTTAACTACTTAGTGAATTGGTTAATTAATTAGTTACTTACTTAATTAGTTAGTTAGCGATTGGCTAGTTAATTAATTAGTTAGTTAGTTAGTTGACTAGTTAGTTAGTTGACTAGTTAATTAGTTGGTGAGTTAGCTAATTAATTAGTTAGTTGTCTAGTTAATTGGTCAGTTAGTTTGCTAGTTAATTAGTTAGTTCATAAACTACCCACATATCCAGAGAAAAAAACCCAAAGATTTATAATTCGAAGTATTGACATACCGGTTGAGAGAGAAACGAATGATTACAAAACTGATAATTCTGGTTCTGCAACGATGTTTGGTTTGAACCCTTCAGTTGCTCCCTGCATTTAACATCATAAATATGAGCTTGGAATCCGCGCAGTGAGAAGACGATGATACATGAACATATACCGACAGTAGTGTCGATAAGACCATAATATATTGCAGCAGTTTTACACTTGAAGTTTGCTTTGTTATGACTTGATAACATAAATATCGTGCCATAACCTATCCCAAGACTGAAAAATACTTGCGTGGCCGCGTCTCTCCAAATTTCAATACTCAACAATTTGTTGATCTATACGAAGAAACAAAATCAACATTCTTTAATACTGGTTCCTTCTCTAAAGCCCCAGATGAGAAACGAGGATGACAGTTAATGAGAGTTGCAACTCTGGCTCGCGTTTAATCGCCAGCTCTCGTTAACTCTAATGTACTCTCATCAACTCTGAACTGGTTCAAATTTTGATGAAAGTTGACGAGTTTTTGCTACGCGCGAAGTAAAATCTCGGTCAGTCATCACTCCAAAACTCTCATGCAACTCTTGTTCTCGTTTGATCGGGACATGAGAGCTGAGAAAACTCTCATGCAAACTCTCGCTTCTCAACTCTCATCAACTCTCATGCAACTCTTGTTCTCGCTGGACCGCCGGACATAAGAGTTGAGAAAACTCTCATGCAAACTCTCGCTTCTCAACTCTCATCAACTCTCATACAACTCTTGTTCTCGCTAGACCGCCGGACATAAGAGTTGAGAAAACTCTCATACAAACTCTCGCTTCTCAACTCTCATCAACTCTCATGCAACTCTTGTTCTCGCTTGACCGGGACATGAGAGTTGAGAAAACTCTCATGCAAACTCGCGTTTGTCATCTCTCATCCCTGTTTGACCGGTCGGGCTTTCCTTGACAGGTTTACTTTCTCGTGTGTCAACAAGTAGTTTCCTTGACAGGATTCCCCTGACAAGTTCCGTTGCTCGTGTACACGGAGTGTTGTTAAACATTTATCTCACGTCAAGGCCGCCTTTTGTTTGCCAAAACCACAGAAGAATTTCTTGTACACTTGCCAAGTTTTCCTTGACGGCCGTACACACGAACAAATCTTCCTTGTCCAAAAGCTGGCATGTCTAGCTTTGGAACAAGACTCAAAAGTTTTGAAAATTGTCAAATTTTTGTCGTACACACGAGAAGGTAAAACTTGTGAAGAAAAATGTTTCAAGGAAAACTTCTCAACGAAAACGTGCCTGTCTGTAGAGGGCTTAGCCTTAAGATGTTTTGTGCAGAGGCTACTAGCTAATCTTCAGAGAAAAGCGTCTTCGCTCACAGCATGGTTAGAACTAACCTGGCTGGTTTTGAACTCAACTAAAATTGCCAAGCCACGAGCCCAGTCGTCAAGGTGAACGACAAAAAGAAACAGAGCGACGTATAATATCACTGCGATGACAAGGATGACGTAACCAGGCTGAAAAATAAACACAAAATATTCATTATTTAATAATTGTGGTTGAAGACGAAAAAGGGTTAAAAGGGATAGGACAAGGACCAATTATATAGCTCGACATATACTGGGCATACTTAGAACGTATTACACTTACCTTGGCAGCATATTTGACACCTTTGATATTGTAAAATAAAACAAGAACCCATGAAATAAAAACATAGAGGTAAAGATCCCAGTTCACATCTGGAAAGAAAGGTAGCGAGAATAGTTTAGAACTGATAGAACTATCCAGTATCGATACAGTTAGTTTAGTTTACGTTTCCTCCTGTAGTATAACACTGGATCAATAAGAGATGATCCTTACTGGACCTCTAGGAAGAACAGTTTAGAACTGATAAAGCTATCCAGTATAAATAAAGTTAGTTTAGTTTAGGGTTCCTCCTGTAGTAACACTGGATCAATAAGAGATGATCCTTACTAGACCTCTAGGAAGAACAGTTTAGAACTGATAAAGCTATCCAGTATAAATAAAGTTAGTTTAGTTTAGGGTTCCTTCTGTAGTAACACTGGATCAATAAGAGATGATCCTTACAGGACCTCTGGGGAGAACAGAGCGTCCAGTGAAGGAAAAGTTTAGCTCAGTTGCATAACTTCTATCTACCTTGCAAAGAATTTATATTTTCAGCGACACCGAGCTTTGTTTGATACCAGTAATACTCAGAAGGACTGCTGCTATTGGTGCATGCCTCGACACCTTCTGGGCATGACGTCCATGGTAGACACCGCTGTAATGAATAAACGAAGTACGAGGCGCACCATCCGACGATCACATTGAAATAGATGATAGTGACAAATGATATAAACACCGCACTAATCCCGAGGCCAATCGTGCTAGGATGAACTCGTCTCCATGTACTGAGTAAGAATTTATCCTGGAAATGCTGACCAATGGCAATCTCGACGCAAACCAAGGGAATTCCCTCGAGAAACAGCATGATTAGATAGGGAATCATGAAAATAACTGCAAAATAGATCACAAATAAGGCCAAAATGAAGACTATCGTTTACATTATATAACTCTATATTTGTAAAATATGATATACTAACTGAATATCTAACACTTTTCTGGTTCGTTATACTTGTAAATGAATATAAACTTTACGTTTCAATTCAAAAACGTTCGAAAGATGTAAAATTTGGGCAATGTTTATATCTGGGGGTCCCCCTTTGTTACGAGCAGAACTGATGCGCAGAACGGAGTTGACATCATCTTTAAAAGTTTTAATGGATATTTAATGAGGCAGTTTCCCCGAGACTGGCAAATATACTAATCTTCGCTTCGGTGTCTCTGACGAGAACAGCTGCAAAGTGCTTGCATAAATTATAGCAATAATTATGCAAGCAATTATGACATTAATTAGTTTAGCGCAGTTTTTGAGAAACGATTTCCAAAAAATCATTTTCTTCGACTGCCTTATGTTAGGATAAATCCATTTTAAGCCCCCGTTAAAGGTTAGAGGGGCACGGTTCCTCTGTCTTGAAAAGCTACCAAAATTTCAGGCGAAGCGCCTTAATTCTTTCGAAATGTTTTTAATTTAGTGTTTTTTAGGTGCAGCTTGTGGGCAGAAAAAGTGGATTGTTTAAAGGCCCTGTCACACTATTGCGTATCATACTAGCGTATGCCAGCGTATGAAAAATATCACTCATACGCCGGTATACGCTAGGGGTACGTTAGGCGTAGGTTGTATACGTTTCAAACACGGTCGCATATGGTGGCATACGCTGGCATACGGCGAGCCAGAAAATTTTTTTTAAGCATGTTCAAAAATTTTGTGCGTATCGGACGTATGCCTTATACGATAAGCATACTCTAGGCACACGCTGAATACGCTAGAGGTACGCCAGATGTACGGTACTCATACGCTGGCATTTCAAAGGATTTTTGTGCGTATGAAAATTATTTCATTAATTTTCATACGCTTCTCATACGTTTCTCTCATACGCAATAGTGTGACAGGGCCTTAAGGGCCAGTTACATGCATGACGACGCGACTAGTTGTATAAGATTGTCATGCTGGCATATGATATGACTTCTGATGCGAAATCTGAAATCTTTTTCAAGTTTGGACAGAGATGGAATATATTTTTTTTGGCCTAAATTCTTTTTCAAATTCTGCCACAGACAACAAACATCTTTGCGTGGTCCAATGTGGGCCATGTCATTATTATGGCAACGAGTTATATACACATCGATCGTAGACACGGTCACGCTGTGAAAAATATTCATTTTTGGGCAAAATGTTAATTATTATTTCTTATTCGGCAGGTAGAAATTTAAAAATGCAGTGACAACATGACGCGAGTCACTTCCAGTGAACTAATATAAACATTCATCCCCCATGATCAGGGAGGGAGCTCGGCAAAACCTCGACAGCAGAAAAGACCCTTCTACCCTTAAAATATCGTTCGGTCACGGGCATTGGCCGACCCATTCGTGAAATTGTCCGACGTAGAGTGGAAACCACCGGACATTCTGTCCGACCTAAGTGAAACTGAGGTTTATTGTTTGTCCGACCCAAGTGTATTTGTGTCCGACCGAACTGTAGCTTCGTCCAACGTAAATCAAAAAGTACCCTAGTCCAGGGACCAGGATTAGAGGCTCGTATGTTAAATGGAGAATCAGAGTACCGGTATAAAAAGTGAACTAGAAATGTTGTTTTAATGTAGTCGAACGCGGGGGTGGCGAGCGAAATGATGAAGTGGAAAACAGGTTTAAGTTGTCGAAGTCTTCAACATGAATAATTATATATTCCACATGAATAATTATATATTGGGAAGCAAGTTAATTTTGGTTCGGAAATAAGTATGAATGACAGAAATTATTTAATATCTTCACAATATTTAGTTCAGAATTAATACATTGTGGTGATATTAATTTGTGTCATTCAGACTTATTTCCGAGCCAAACTGAACTGAAGGTCATCGGACATCATCATATACATATGTCCGACCCAATCTCATCGGACATTTTGTCAGACGGCCCTGTAAAAGCTATTTTAAGGCCCACAGAAAATATCTATACACCATTTTTATAACAATCTTGGGAAACCAAGTTTAGAACGAACCACCGGCGAAAACACCCCGGATACAAATGCATCCTTTTCAAAAACCTCACCGGAGAAAAGACCCTCCATGTTTAATCGTAATTGACTCCCCACTGCTTACCTCCTCCGTGTTTATAACACAATCTTGGGAAGCCAAGTACTGTTCCAAATCCCAGAGAAAAATTGAGCATTGAAACATAAAAATCCGAAGGATGCCATTGTGAATTAGTCCCGGCGCCCTCGATCGAAGATGTTGCGCCGCTTAAAACATCGCTCTGTATCGGGCTATCCGCGTTCCTGTTTTCAACATCTGTGCGCGATTCTTGCTTCTTTTTGTACGCCTTCACGTATTTTTCAACGCTGTCCGCGAACGCCGAGTTCAGCACGAGCCTCGCTCTTTCTTTTGGAGTTAGAAGAGTGTATCTTGTCGTTTCCATGTCTTGGAAACAATGTCTGGTTTAAGAACGAAGTTTTCTTACTTCAAAATTTCACACTTTAGTGAAAGACGGTTCTCGCTAGCTTTTCTTCGTTTTGAATAAGTATACAATTTGCTGTCCCTTTTGCAGAAAGCTTTACTGAGACATTTACAAGCTTAGCTTCATTGTCTTGGTTTCAATATTCGACAAGTCTTTTCCAATACAACAAAACATCTGATGATTAATAAACATAAAATTTGTTTAGCTTGTTCAGTCCAGAAAGAACGAAACTAACTTAATTTCATATCAGTGCCTTCGCGTCAATACAACGAATATATTGCTATACGGAGTAGTCACACATTTCACCCACTTCTTTCTAACAAATCTCTTCCAAAATTTGGATAACAGGCAGTTTATATTTTCAATATTTGGCAACTTCTGCTAAAATACTCTTTAATTTTAACGTATAACGTAGTCACATTCACTGATCGCTTTCTGCGTTCTGATATCTGCAAAAAAGCACAACAGCATATATTATTGAACGCCTAAGTGACGCAGTTAAAAAACGCGAAGCTATAATAAAGCTGTAAAGACAAGATAATTTAGAAGCCGACCAGCTATAATCGCTCAATATATTGTCAATAAAACAATAGCACAAGACGCCATAATGTCGATAGCACGTCAAAATGAAATGATGACGGCATATGGATTAATCATCTTCATTCAAAATACAGGTCAATAAAACAATACTGTACAAAACACAACAAATAAAATTATACAGCTTACCCTACCAGAAATGCTTTCTTTAAAAAGTTCAGAATTATACTTTGAAGTTGTTTTTAATTTTTCTAATTCTATCCGTTTAGAAGCTATCCTTTTCATACAATCAAGCTTGCTGCGCGCCTAATCTTTAATATTAATTTCGATGATAATACACCAATAGCTTCATTAAAAATTTATTGCTATTAAAATGCTAACTAAGCCTTATTTCACACATATATATAGCCATTGTTTATATACCTGTAGCTTTGCGACGGAAAAACGCAAGCAATTTTTCGATGCAAATCTACTTCCTCATCAGTATAATGTATTCCGCGCTATACACGATACACCTCAAATATAACCGCGAATATTTGTTGATAAATTTGCGTGGAAATTTAAACGAATAAATTTAGTTACCGTACGACATAGTAGACAAAAATAATTAAACGATAATAACACGGCATTATGGATGCAAAATGCGGCTATAAAATTCAGACTATATTCGCCCGACAAAAAATATTACATTTACACTGTAGGGTAATAATAGGATTAAATGGAAAGTCATCAGTTACTATCTACTGTCTATCACTGATAAATTGTACATAAGCTGGGATTATTCAAAACTTTGTATTGAAGTACTTATATCAAGCTATATATATTTATAGGTGAATAGCTCACGTAGAGGACCTTGTATCTTTTTGTAGTTGCATCTGCCTCGGCAAATGATTTTAACAAAATCTGAAAGGCAAATGGCGAGTGTTTATATTTTTTTCAAAAATTTCATGCTGTCCAATTTGTCTTAGTCATGTTTTATTAATTTAATTACTGTATGTTTTAGAAAGACGGTCACACCATAAGGTGAATGACTTAAGCATGATTAGATCATGCAGAGGTAGTACATGTTCTTGAATGTGAGCTATCATAAAGTGATCTGATGTTGTACAAAACTCACTGCGGAGTTAAATAGCATTGTTAGATCATACAGAGCTAGTACATGTTCTGTTATGTGAGCTATCATAAAGTGAGCTGATGTTGTACAGAACTCACTGCTGAGTTAAGCAAGGTTAGATCATGCAGAGCTAGTACATTTTCTTGAATGTGGGCTATCTTAAAGTGAGCTGATGTTGTACAGAACTCACTGCTGAGTTAAATAGCATTGTTAGATCATACAGAGCTAGTACATGTTCTGTTATGTGAGCTATCATAAAATGATCTGATGTTGTACAGAACTCACTGCTGAGTTAAGCATTGTTAGATCATGAAGAGGTAGTATATGTTCCCGAATGTGGGCTATCGCAAAGTGATCTGTTGTACAGAACTTACTGCTGAGTTAAACATGGTTAGATCATGCAGAGGTAGTACATGTTCGCGAATGTGGGCTACCTTAAAGTGATCTGATGTTGTACAAAACTCGCTGCTGAGTAAAACATGGTTAGATCATGCAGAGGTAGTACATGTTCTTGAATGTGGGCTACCTTAAAGTGATCTGATGTTGTACAGAACTCACTGCTGAGTTAAGCAAGGTTAGATCATGCAGAGGTAGTACATGTTCTTGAATGTGGGCTACCTTAAAGTGATCTGATGTTGTACAAAACTCACTGCTGAGTTAAACATGGTTAGATCATGCAGAAGTAGTACATGTTCTTGAATGTGGTCTACATTAAAGTGATCTGACTGTTAGATCATGCAGAATTATGTTCTTCAATGTGGAAGTGCAATCACTGGTTCCACAACTGCTTTAAGATGCAGACTTTAGCGAATGGAAATTTTACTTAATTTAACATTATACAAAAAGATTTTTCTATACCATGCAGTTATGAGGACTCGTTCTTTAAGGAGGTTAAAATGTTATAAAAACAACTACGATATATGTTTTGGCTGCACCAAGAATACCTGCAGTTTTCAGAATAACAAAATGTCGAAATTGAAAAAGTTTGAAGATTTCTTCATCAAATCGCTTATCGTGTGAGTATTTTATGTATTATATTTGAATACCGTTATATGCAGTGGTGTCAAGTAACAAAGTAAATGTACTTCGTTACCGTACTTAAGTACTATTTTTGAGTAGTGAGCATGTAACAACGTAAACTTTTTCTGGAGTACTTTTACTTGGAACGAAGTTGTTTTAAGAAGTAACGTTTTACTTCGTTATTTTCATTTTGTAGCGAAGTATTTCGTTACTTTCTAACTTTTGTTTCATTTTTCTGATTTATATTTATTAATTTCGGGAAAGGTAAAACGACCTCTACATGCGTCTGGGATCTGTCATTTGTGACTTATACTTATAAGCATTATTTACTTAATGGATTTCTTATATCTTGAAAGTCTGGAAAGTAGACCATGCGGTGAAATATTGTATATTCGGTGCACGCATATAATGTGAGTGCTGTTTTGTGTCTTTTGTATGTCAATCCATTGGAGACGTCCCCCTCTACACCAACGGTTTTCAACTGGTTTTCTCATGTGTCCCCGATTTCACATGATTGAATTACCACGTCCCCTGAACAGAAATTGCCCAGTGAAGTCTATCAAAAACACGAATTTCGAAATAGTTAGTAAAATAGTAAATGATTTAAATTTTAAATAATAGATAGAAAGTCAAGCAAACATGTTTATAGTACAAACTATTGTATTCAACTATTGTTTTCTCAGTCCTAGACCAGTTTGTGTCCCCTAGGAATTTGCCAAATGTCCCCTCTCGGGGACATGTCCCCCAAGTTGAAAACCCATGCTCTACACGCTACAGGCAATAGTACTTTTACTTTGTACTTCAAGTACTTTTTAAGGATACTTTGTACTTTTTACTTAAGTGCGTTTTGCTTCCAGTACTTTTTACTCTTACTCAAGTCGTTTTATTGTTAATTACTTCTACTTTTACTCGAGTACAAATTCAACGTAATTTAGGCACCACTGGACTTATATGTACTACTTTATTTGGCATTTGTATTTTAAGCCTGGTTCAGACTGGCAATTCTGTCGGCGATTTTTCTCCACCTGGGAAATGTGATCGAACGAATGACAAGCAAAAGACTTAGAATTATTTACTTCTGAAAAGCGACTCTATACTTTTCTTCCCAATTTTTTTTATGCGTCACTTGAAAGTATATTGAAAATGATGAAGAGTGACCTTAACAATTTATTCACAGCTCAACTCGTTCCCAAGTTATCAGGCATTTTTTATTTTTGTGTTATGACGTCACTAGTTCTGCTTAAGGTGGCTCGATATAGTTATTACAAAAATCCTGCTCAAGAATCGCGGACTCAAAACTGGGTTTTACGCGCAGGTCGCGGAAACTGTTTAAGGTGGCTCGATATAGTTTTCAAAAATTCAGGTGTTCAACACTTTGACATGTTCAAACTACGCATTTTTAGGATTTATTCAGCAGATATTGAGGTTTTTATATATTTTGATATCTCAACTTTCAAATTATACAAGTCTTAGTAACAGATAGTTCGTTGCTATGACGACATACGTGTACGAAATTCACTCCAAAATGGCCTATCGTCTCGTATAGTTGGAAAAAAAGCATGGTGACCCCCAATTTTTTTTCGTGCATTATGTTACTTCGACGAAAAGCTAACATTTAGCAAAATATAAAAAAATTCTGTAATGCCATTTTTTTGGAAAATGCGAAAATGTCATATTCTTCGGTAAAATTTTTTGGGCATTACAGAATTTTTTTTTGTTTTTGTATAATGAAAGTTTTTAGCGGTGCAATACAGCATGCAAAATTTGAACATAGGTCACCAGACAAAATAAAGAGATATAGCGCATTGTTTTTCTATAATGGAAAATTCTAATGACGTCAGCAATTGACATAAAACACTATAGAACACACGCAATGACGTGATATGGCGCGAGCAACTGCTCACGTCAGGTCATTTTAGAAGTTCTTTCATTTTGTTAATCAGTTTTCACGACCTGCGCGTAAAAATGATCACCCGGTTTTGAGTTCGCGACTCTTAGTGAGCAGGGGTTTTGTGATAACTATATCGAGTCACCTTAACAAAATGAAAGAACTTCTAAAATGACCTGACGTGAGCAGTTGCTCGCGCCATCTCACGTCATTGCGCGTGTTCTATAGTGTTTTATGTCGATTGCTGACGTCATTAGAATTTTCCATTTTATATAGAAAAACAATGCGCTATATCTCTTTATTTTGTCTGGTGACCTATGTTCAAATTTTGCATGCTGTATTGCACCGCTAAAAACTTTCGTTATATAAAAAATAAAAAAATTCTGTAATGCCAAAAAAATTTTACCGAGGAATATGACAATTTCGCATTTTCCAAAAAAATGGCATTACAGAATTTTTTTATATTTAGCTAATTGTTAGCTTTTCGTCCAAGTAAAATAACGCAAGAAAAAAATTGGGGGTCACCATGCTTCTTTTCCAACAAAACGAGACGATAGGCCAATTTGGAGTGAATTTCGTACACGTATGTCGTCATAGCAACGAACTATCTGTTACTAAAACCATGGATAATAAAATAAATGAATAGGACTCTAGCTGACGTAAGTAAAAACAACCAGGTTGCAATCTGTGACGTCACGCGTATTGCATAGTTCTCGGCATTTTTGTTGTTTCCTAGTTAGTTTTTTCAATTAAAAGGGTTGAAATAATTTGGTAGAGTTAGTAAATGCACCTATGCAAACAATTTGGAACGTTTATGTGGTTGTCATAACACACACTAGTTACCAGGTCTCTCTCTCTTCTTATTTATAATGTCTGCACTTTGGTCTTTGGAACGGTAGAAAACCGCAATTAATTATGGTTTTTGGTATTAAAATGACGTTGTCATTGGGTACTTAAATTTTCTACGAAAGCGCTTCCATTGTTAAAAATTCGACGCCATTTAAACTCATTCATAGTCAATAAGACAATAGAAGAAGGTTAGAAAACTCAATGCAGATATAATAGACCTCATCTAATATGTTTCTGTCTTGGTTTGTGCAAAAGCTGGTCGGTTCATCGTCACGTGTGTATTGTATTTTCGCTAGAGCAACCAATAGCTATGTTCTCATTTAACCATTGTGTAATATCACGATTTCATTTTAATTTAGGTATTGGTTTAAAGCGAAAGCTAGCTAAATACAGCCGTTCTGTTATTTACAAAGACCTAAATTTACTTTTATAATAAATAATTAAAAAAGATTCCACACTTAATATATTGAACTTGAATATTATCGTATAGATCGCGCAATATCAGACGTCCTAGGCTTTATCGTATGTTCACCTGCGGTTCAAACAGAACTAGCTATAGCCGTTCTAACAATTAGATATTCAAGCATCACATTTAATTAATAATTTATAATAAAACCCGCAAAATGGCCCAAAATACGTAAGACAACTTGACAACATCGAAAAGATAGCGACTTTCAATTGAGAAGCTTAATTTGCGGCCAGAGTTAAGAAAATGTATTGGACAAGTCTCTTGTAAAAATCTGATGGGCGATTTATGATTGATAATTTATATAGGCTAATAACATGTAAGAAAAGAGTTTTAAATCGATGTAAATTAAAACGTACGACTATAAGGTAAAATTACATTAAATGTTGCAAAATTAAACTTTCTGAAATTCGAAACAACGGTGTCGGTGTATATATTATCATGGCTTACCTTTGTTTAAGAAAATTAAGGTTTCGTTCGTATTGAATAAGCCTTTTCGTGAAGGATGGTTTCATCTAATGTATACACGCTAGTCAATTCGCTTCACTCTGAGCTCAAGTTTGCTCAGTTGTTTGTGAAAAATAATTAATTCTCAACTAAAAGCGTGCAAATAAATGACGCGTAAGAAGTCATGAGCATAATTAAAATAAAACAAATAGCGTCAATGATCGCATTGTCTTTGTCGAGTTGCAGGGGTCTGTAAAGTGCTTTGAGATTAGAAAAAAGTTATAAAAAATAAATTGGAGATAAAAGTCAAAGGTTTCGGCAATATTTAACACATGTTTTAAATTAAACTATTGGATCGAAAAGATTCAAAAAATAAACTTTCATTAACTTGAAGAAAAATGTGGGGGGAAATTGGCAATTCTTTCGGTGGACAAAAAATGAAAAGTGACTTGTTCAATTCTAAAATTTAAAAAATCTATTAAAAGTCAGAAACGCCGATAGAAAATTAATCACGATATCAAAAGACGGTAATTTATTTTTTAATATGGACAATTTAAATCGATATTCAAATATTCAAATGTTGACCTTTTCGGCATTTTCCCTTTTGACAGATTGTCTTATATACAGCTATTTCAATTAAGGTTGTCCACGAGCAAAGCGGAAAAGTCGAATACGAGCTCGAAAGGCTGCTGGGAATCGCTAACAAATTAATGAATTTTCATAGCGATTCCCAGCAGCCTTTCGCGCTCGTATTCGACTTTTCCGCTTTGCTCGTGGACAACCTTAATTGAAATAGCTGTATATATACAGGGTGTCCCCAAAACTATTGAAATAACGTACGTATTGTTAGAATTTGAATGACTCAGCACTCGGCTGAACTCACACGTGCATCAAAGCTTGACGTAAGTAAATTTTATGCATAAAGAAACCGTTTAAGAAGCTGTTTTAAATTCCCAAGAGCAGAAAATCGTGCGCTAAAGCCATCTTTTAATTTCTTAATAAGTCAATATTTAATATATGCACCCTTGTCAATATCATACTCATCTTTGCGTTCAGCCACATTCAGCTTAGTGCTAGGGCATTCAAATTTTAACAATACGTTATTTCAATGGTTTTGCGGGGTTTTTTGGGACACTCTGTATATACAGCTTTCAGGTTTCTTGTTTTTTGGACGTAATTCTATCTTTAAATTTTTTAAAAAATATAAAAACAATTCAATTGATTTTTTCAATCAAAATGTTGACAGAGAAAGCCATTGTCTTGAATAGTTTTTTTATAATAGTGAGCAGAAAGTTTGGCTGTTCTTGCTCTCTGCAGATCAGCGAAATCTACTCTATATAGTCCAAACCTTAACCTATATCCATCATCCCATTCAAAATTATCCATCAATGACCATGCTGTGTATCCCCTAACGTCCACTTTATCCAGCTTGATCGCCTTAAGTACCTACATGCAGAGAATAAAAGTGCATTTTTATTCCAAACTGACTTATTTAGCGTTGAATCTTTTTCTAAAAAGTATTTCAAACACAAATCGAGGCAGCTGGCTGCCTGACTGGCTGCCGGCCTGACTGACTGACCGAACAACCAACAGACTGCGTGCTGACCAACCACCCGAATGGCTGCCTGACCGACCGACCAGGCGGCCTGGACTGACCATGCCTATCGAAGGGAAGATGGCTGTGAAACTCATTAGAATAACAATATAACTCATCATCTATGTTAGTCAACGTTTATTCATAAATCTGGTGCTTCACCGTCACGTGTGTATTGTATTTTTGCCCAACTAACCAATACTAGCAATTTCCAATTTACCCTATTGTTCGAGTCACGGATAGGTAACTTTCCTAAAACATTTCTATTGGTCAGTTGGGCAAAAATACAATACACACGTGACGGTGAAGGACCAGATTTAAAAATAAACGTTGACTAACATAGATAATGAGTTATATTATTTGTTCATTCTAATGAGTTTCACAGCCATCTTCCCTTCGATATAGGCTATGGCCTGACTGGTCAACCAACCGATTACCTGACTGACTGTGACCACAATGCACCATGGGAATAATATAAAGCATGAAAACCAACCTCATTCAAGTATCTTCGGTACCAATCCACTCGGAAATAATCCTCCAGAGCTCTCTCCCCAACCGCGTCATGCTCACCGGCCTGGGTACAACCGTTCTCTGTGATAATGACCCTAGGGTTCCCATAATGATCCTTGATGTACTTCAATATCCGACGTATTCCAAATGACGTCATCCGCAACCATGACGCATCGGTCCCAGGCCACGAGCTGTCCATCATTTCCTCGGTATCTCGGTCGGTGTCGAACGTTTGAGGCGTTTTCGCGCCATTTAAGGAAGACTGATGCTTCACCAATTGACACCTGTAGAAGTTCAGGCCAAAAAAATCATGACTGCCTTTAATGAGCTTTCTTTCGTTTGCACTTATAACTGGCAGGCGAGATTCAATGTCACTTGCTTTCGAATGTAAACTAACTTGTTCTTTTACCGTAGACGAAAAGTCACCATCCACAAATATAGGATGCGCAAATAAGTCGAGATGGAATGCTAGAAATCTACCCGCTGCTTCTTGGTCTTGTTTTGAACTGGTATAAGGCTCGGGCCAACTTGAATCGAGCGTGATAGATATCTGTCCATGTTGTGTTGGCCGAAATTCTTTGTCGTACGTATGCCAAGCTTTCGCGTGAGATAGGATGAGGTTTTTCACGGCTATGTAAGCTCCCCTGGCTAGGTCTTTGTGACCCGGTGCCGTCTGTCCTCGGCAGTAACCAGGAATGGCGACCTCCCACGGTTCGTTCAGTGTTATCCAGTATTTGACGCGGTCACCAAATCTTTCAAAACATAACCTTCAAAGACAAGATACTAACATTATACGTTTTGCGTAGGTAAATTCTAAGTCTTGAAGGATTTGTGAGAAATGTTTGAGGGAATATCTGACATATGAATTTTCTGTGTTGGTGTAATGTATTCGGGTAAATATGTGATGTTTGTGATTTTACTCTGAGTGTATATCCACACCGGACAAGCTTGAAAAATATGCCTGACCACGGTGGGAATCGAACCTACGACCTTTGGAATACTAGTCCAATGCTCTGCCAACTGAGCTACGCGGTCAGGTCGGTTCGAGTATGTGATATTTCGGAACTGAGTCTAGTTCCTTCGATATCAATGCAATCTAATAATCATGAATTTTCTGTGTTGGTGTTATGTACTCAGGTGAATATATGATGTTTGTGATGTTACTCTGAGTGTATATCCACACCTGGCAAGCTTGAAAAATATGCCTGACCACACAATATGACTAAACACCGATCCTTAAAATTTATACAGATCCTTAAAATTTATACCGATGCAAAATTCCTACACGTTTAGTCGCATGGCATGACCTCTGCACATACAGTAACGCACCCTGAAGTAAATTGAAGGCCCATTTAGACTTGCAATTATTGCTACGATTTCTAGTGCGATTGAACAAGTGATCGAAGGACTGTATCATCTGGACATTCATAACTCATTTACATTTAAGCTGAAGACGATAATCGCACGGCTAGAAATCGCAGCAAAAACTGCAAGTATAACTGAACGGGCGCTTGTGTACTGAGAAGGACGATAAATGGTAAGGATTTTCAGGTGAAAAAATTTAAAACATAAAGACTTACACAAATTTAAAACAGAAAGATAGATACTGAATGGAATTTATTCAATTTCTGATGAAGGGCTCTCAGGTTGGGTGTACCCCAATACACCCTTTCCATAATTACGTCACAACTACGTTGTTTTCAACGTAGGACCACCTTGAATGGAAAGGATTTCAATTTTTTTTCTTATGGGCTATGCACAGAGAAGCAGAACATCCTTCTTCAACACATGCATGAAAAAAATTCTTTATTTTGACCAATAAATGTGGAAATAAGCTTTAACACGAAAACGAGGCTCATTTATTGATCAAAATGGAAATTCTTTTTCATGCATATGTTGAAGAAGAATGTTCTGCTTCTCTGTGCCTAGCCCATGAGAAACAAACTTGAAATCCTTTCCATTTAAGGTGGTCCTAAGTTGAAAACAGGGTAGTTGTGACGTAATTATCGAAAGGGTGTATTAAGTATCGCAAAAACAGAAATGTGTCCCAAATGTCATCAATATTACCACAAACACTTTTTATTAGGCATCTGATCATGTAAATATTTTGTAATTCTTAGGACTGGAGTACAATTGTGAGATAGACTAAACAATTATAGTTATTGTGTCACTGTTTATGAGATTGATTTTGTGCTAAAACTGCATTAAGAATGCGGGAAATAAGGGACTGGTCATAATTTAGCAGGAGGTGGAAACAGTGGGGGGGTCACATATTTTTTAGCCAGGAAAAAGGGGGGTTCATAAAATATTAGACAGCTTAAGAAGGCGGGGAGGGGGTCTGCTGTTTTAGTTCAATTAATTGTTTTATACATCACATATTGTTTGAGTTGCATTGAAAAAAAATGATTCTTTAAACTTAGAATATAATGAAAAGTTTGAAAAAACTAAAGTTTTATATGACTATGTATTGGTATAATATAAATTTTAGTATTTGATTTAAAGCGCAACTAGAAAATTAGAAAATTTAAAGTGCAATTAGAAAATTTATTGAATGCAGGGTTTACTAGTAGGTACGTACATTTTTACTGACACGAGCAAGAGAGAGAGAGGGGAGGGGGGGGGTATTATTTTTCCGGGTTATGGCAAAGCAGGGTCACAAAATATCATTCCTTAAAATTTTGAATTACACCTCCCCACCCCCCTGATAAATTATGACCAGTCCCTAAGAACGTGGAATAATTCATGGTATTTTACCTTTCTTAGAAACAAGGTAAACTCAATATTACATTGTGGACAATGTTTGACGTCCTTATCTTCCACCCATGTCTCTGACAATCTGGTTTTCATGTCAAACTCCAGTTGGGTAGATCGTTTCCACAGCTCTGACTTATCACTAGAAAAACCCCAACAAATCCTTGATACACAAACGAAAAGTGTTGAAATCAGAAAAAGGAGACTGAAATATTTTGAAAAAGATAAGAGGTCAACTGAGGTATAGTCATGTTATGATGATCAACAACAACAAAAAAAATGGAGTGGAACAGGCAATGGAGCGTAAAGTAGAGGGGGATAAATGGAGAGGGAGGCCAAAAGAATGATGAAGAACTGTAATTAGAAAGGACGCATGGACGAATTCGAGCTCAGCTAACTACACGAATTTCGGTGTGAACAAATGGGACCGGACAAATTTGCGTACGGTTCTGAATTCGTGCGATCTCGTGTGAATGCAATCTTAATAACAATGGCCGACGCCCTGAATATAGACACTCAGTCCAGTTTCAATTTCAGATAATGGTAAACTTGTTACCCTTGACACAGAATACAGACTCAACAGAAGTCCAATGAAAACATTCAAAATGCCGAGCTTGGTTTAGACGGGTGAGTGCCGCTCGTTAGAGCACTGACTACGCACATTGCGACTGAATGGGAATTGCATGGAGACTACATGGTCGGACCTCTATATAAAATACATACTCTGTGCCCTAGATCTTGAGCTTAATAACGATCCAAGATGGCGTCTATATTGATGGAAAAAATAATTACCTCAAAAGTGAAATTAACTTGTTCTTCAGTTGTTTAATATCTTCTTCCAACTCACTCTTCTCCTGTTCCAAAATCTTTTCATTTTCACTTTTCTGTTCACGTATTTCCTTGATTGTCTTTCTATATTCCTGGTTTCTGCCCTTTTCCTTCTCGCATTTTTTCTTTGACAACATCAGAGTATTTTCTATTGACTGAATTTCTTGTTTGTCAGCGTCTATGTTACCGTTCAACACTTTTATCTATAGTCAAAGTAAACGTTAATACGTTAACAGGTCTCCTCAAGCAGAATTTCATTTCATTGAGATGATTATTTGATGAAACGAATCTGACATGCATTAAGGCTTGCCCGAGTCATAAAAAGAAAACCATCTCAGACAAATACAAGTTTCCTTTAGCATGGTAGCCCGTTTGGGCAAGTGCAAGTAGTTTTGCTTGAAAAAGCTGATGACATGCATGTGGACCCAACACTGTCGGACCCAAACACCAAACAGCTCTCCAATGTCCTACGCTGTCTCTTTCGCAAATATTTCAACATATTTTCAATATGGATAAATCTTATGTTTGTGGTGTTACTCTGAGTGTGCATCCACACCGGGCAAGCTGAAAAGTTTGTCTGATCACGGTGGGAATCGAACCCGCGAACTTTGGGATACTAGTCCAATGCTCTGCCAACTGAGCTACGAGGTCAAGTCGGTTCGAGTTGGTGATATTTCGGAGTCTAGTTCCTTCGATATCAATGTATTCTACGATATGATACTATTTATGTGTGTTGGTGTTATTTACTCAGGTGAATATGATGTTTGTGGTGTTACTCTGCTTAATTTGTAACATAAGCAGTTAAACCAAATATTTCAACATCATTGCATGATGCAACGATATATTACTCGCTCGCTATGATCGCATGAGATCAGATTATGTCAAAGCGAACGGACTGTGCCAGTGTACGTATAGACGAGTATATGATAATTGCGGATTGCAAGAGATACAACAACATGAAAATTACAAGCAGAACTTAAGTTCTTTGTACGTTTGCATGGCGATAAAACATATAATAGTTTTGTTTGTGGAAACACCACGTAAATTTATTACTGCAAAGTTTTCGATCCGTAAACCCGGATCTTCATCAGTGCTAATAATATGTATACATATTATTAGCACTGATGAAGATCCGGGTAGCACTGATGAAGATCCGGGCTTACGGATCGAAAGCTTTGCAGTAATAAATTTACGTGGTGTTTCCACAAACAAAACTATTATAAGCAGAACTTAATTATTAACGATAATAAGATAACTGCAGTTATGTGAAAGCAACCATGCATATACTCACTGGGTCTTCACCTACGCTATCCCCCGAGTAGAAATGATGTTAAAGTAGTGATAAATTAATATGTAGCAATCAATTCCAAAAAGATGCGGCAATAGACCTTATGCATAATGACGTCACAAGGCTTGATGCCCGCGAGGAATGCTGGTCTTAGTAGTCATCGCCCGGGTAAATTAAACAGTTCAAAATGGCCACTATCGAAATTTTTCCGGGCGATGACTACTAAAACCAGCATTCCTCGCGGACATGAAGCCTTGTGACGTCATTATGCATAAGGTCTATTATCTGGAAGGAACCTCTCGGAAGTTATATCAATGCAAGGTTATTTCGCTGATGGGCAACTTCTATGAGACTCATGCTTTCCCTGTGCTCTTTCTTATATTATTTTTACGACTCAGAGATAAAATTCATATATCTACGCTAGTGACGCTACCAGGTAATAGCTTCCATAATTAATCTTCTGAAGCTTACCTCATTCTTGAGAAGCTTGATATCACTTGCTAATTTCTTTTTTTCTGTTTGCCATGTTTCGTTTCGTTCTTTTAATTTATTTTCTAGTTCTGTTATGGTCTCTTCGTTTTCTTGAATTTTATCCCTCAGGGACATGGCTTCTTGCTTTTCTTCCGATAACGTCTAAAAAATTCGATAAATATTTTCACGCATATAGTGCAGTAATACAACAGTTATGTATAGGTAATAGTATGGTTTCGAGTGCAATTTGGAAAAAACATGTACGAGTGAGTTTTTTAAAGACTATAAAAATTGCACGAGTCCGAAGAACGAGTGTATATGTTTTTTCAAATTGTACGAGAAACCATACTATTGCTTATTAATAATAAACATGAAAAAATTATGCAGTCACGTGCTTAAGTCACCATTAGAAATTAATAAATTAAGAAAATTAAGAAATTTGAAGAAAATAAGAAAATTAAGAAAATTAGGAAATTTGCACTGTATTTCATTTTTTGGCACTGTATTTCGAAGAAATTGCACTGCTCTTAGCCAATCAGAATTGAGAAATTTTTCATGTATATTATTATGCGTAAAATAAATGTTTCAACGCATATAAATGTCACAAACCGTGTATACAACATCGAACCTAGCCTCCTGTTTTCCACCCTAGTTGTCATTTTATCCTAAGCTATATAAAATGAGCAAAAAACTAACTTTTATTTCTTCGTCATATTTAAGAGCTTCGGAGCTCAACTGAAACCTCAATGATGATACTTGTTGTTCCATTGTACATTGTAAGTTGGCAAGCTGTTCTTCATAGCTCGCTATATTTCTTTCCATCTCTTCTTTCTCCGTCTGCGACTTTTCTAGTAATTCTTCCACTTTTCCCAATTCATTTTCCTTTGTATCCAAATTTCCTGCTACTGAATCTAATTCCTCTTTACTATTTGTTAATTCAACTTTAAGTTCTTCGAATTTGGTTTCAGTTTCTTCAACTTCCACTTTAAGTCTTTCAATTTCTTTTAAAGAGTCCGCTTGTTCACTCTTTTCTTTGTTGAACAGTTCAGTAATTTCGGAGACTTCGTTCTCAAGGACAAGTCTTAAATAACTTTCTTCTTGCAGTTTTTCGTTTAGTTTTTGAATCTCTGAATCAATGTCCGACTTTTCTTTTTTCACAGAAGTTAATGTATCTTCTAGCTTAGTCTTCTCATCTGTCAACACACGAATTTGATCTTCTAATTCCGCCTTGTCTTTCTGAATTGAAAAGAAAAGTATAGTCAACAAAAGCACCCATATTTATGCGACAGTATAATTCACTCTAAAAACACTCTGGTTAAATTCGACCAGGAACTGGATCAATAATCCACCTAGCACATTCCTGGTTAAATTAACTCATTTCCTGGTTAAAAATTATTGATTCAACAAAAATCTGGCCATACTTCTTTGGACTTTTAAACAGGAAAATGGTTTAATTTTTTTAACCAGGATTGTGTAGGTGGATTTTTAACCCCTTCCTGGTTGAATTAACCCAAATTTAACCAGAGTGTTTTTAGAGTATACCTGTAGCCAACTAGCACGTTTTAATTACGTTGGAATTTATATGTTGCATGTTTACAAGAACACAATTAGGGGTAGCCTAGCGTCAGGACTGCCCTTAGAAATAAGTGGGGATCCTTACTTGCAGCTGAGAACTAAGCTGAATTGCGACTTTCTAAGGGCGCCTCTGGCAGCCACCTTGTGACCCATGTCTGATCATGTAACATTCCACCCTGTAACATTCTCTGTGCGAGGAGGAAGCAAGCCCGCCAAGCGGGGGGCAGGGGTGGGGGCATATTGCCCCGGATCCCCAGCTCAAAAGGGGTCCCCAAAGCAAAGAAGCCCTCTAAAATTTGTTGCGAGAAGATTGCTTAACTAAGAATATAAATCTTAGCTGCGTTAGTGCCGGATAATATGCAATAAAGTGTAATATATTGTAAAATACAGGTTCTCCCGTTTTACAACTATGACGTTATAGGGACCTCTGGGAAATGTTTGCACCGGGCCCCCCGCAACCTCTCGGCAGTCCTTGGAGGAAGCAGTAGTATCTGGAGAAAACCCACGACTTTCGGTAGAGCGTTGACTGACTCCTTTCACATAAGTGTCATGGCTCCGGGGAGAAAATCGAATCCACGACCTCAGATGTGAAAGATGATTGCTCTCACTTGGCAACAGATAAATGCATCTTGCCCTTGTTCCTCAAACACTATGTTGGCTAAATTGTTTGATTAGAGCTTTTCAGGATGCAGAATTATATAACACTGTGATTTTACATTAATACACCCTTTCGATAAATACGTCACACATACTTTTTGGTCTCGGAGCCTCGCTCTAATTAGTAAATTACGCAAGGTGATTGGCTCACAATTCATGAGAGCGAGGCTGCCAGGCGAAATGACGTAATTATCGAAAGGGTGTATTAGAAAGACATCATTTTAAGAATTGATTAAGAAGAAAGAGCTGGGTATTAGAACAAATTACTGGAAAGACATACAGTAGTATTAGTATGCGCACTTCTATGACAATCCTGCATGAAATTTCACTAAGTGTTTGTACAGATATTTTATAAGGACTAGGGAGACTGTTAAAAAGCTGGTTTTCATTAGTCGCGAACACTCGCCAACAGTCGTCGATTCCTATATTCCACGCGATCGTCGGTAAACAGTGGGCGGTTTACGTTGTTTTTATGATTCTGCGAAAATTTCAAGCGTGAAGAGGAGTTGTTTTTTTTGTTTTTTTTTATTTATTTAGCTTTGCCAACTAGGGCAGGGTCACCACAACAGCATATGCCAATTACTGTGGGCCCTTTTTACCTAACCCACCCTGTCAACTTTCCCTGTGGGAGGAAACCGGAGTACCCGGGGAAAACCCACGGCTTTCGGCAGAGTGTTGACTTTTACTCTTTTCACATGGGGACTGGGTTCGAGTCGCACTGAGAAGGTACTTAGTGAGACTCGAACCTACAAGCCTCAGAGGTGAAAGGCAAGTGCGCTAACCACTTGGCCACCGAAGCCCCATAAAGTTGGGACCAAGGTAAAAGTTCTACGACTCAGTGTCACCTACAACTCGTGAACATGCAGTGCTTTCATTTGTTTTATTATCATAGAATGTCTGTGATTACCACCAACTGTCGCAAAAAATTATTGTGACAGTCGCGGATGAATTAGACGGTCACAGAATCGACATCGGCGAGTGTCGTCGACTAATGAAAACCAGTCTTTACCTGTTGACCCTGTCTATTCAGAAATGAAGTAGCTTTCTCTTTCTCCATTTCTTCATTTAGTTGAAGAAGCCTGCAAGAAGAGGTTGATGCTTTAAAGCGATGCCATTGGAATGTTTGCTAGACAGTCTTACACTTTTATCTTGCCTATCCCAAGACAATTTTATTATCATATATTCCGCAGAAAAACAGTGGAGTGCTTATCAATGTGATACTGCAAAGTTTAGTAGACTAGTTTAGTTTACTCTACCCTAGAATGTAATTCACTGTATAATTTTACTGTATATTTTTTTGAAGTATGTTGAGGTATATTATTAATGATAACCAAATATTATACCAGTAACCAAATACCGTTTAAATCACTTGAATTTTGACAACGTTGTTGTCACTACTGAAAAGTACTTTTGAAAATCAATTTTTAGATGAAAAATTTGTGTTCCTTTTATTGCAATGGCCGACAATCAGCTTCAATTTTAACAAAGTAGATCTCAACTCAGTTACAATTGCAGGTCAGTTGTTCCGCGTGCTTGACAAATACACTGTACACGCAATTGGCAAACACGCGCAATTGGCACATATGAATATGTGGTCCTTTCCACTCATATGTTTCCACTCAACAAAACAACTACAACACTATATACCAAAAATGTAATTACCTCTCAATCTCCAGAGACAGAGATTTACACTGACTGTCCAATTTTCCTCTCTCTTCATCAACTTTCGCCAAAGTTTCTTTATCATTCTTTAAATTATTGTCAAGCTCGTTCAAATTATTTGCCAGACTCTTACATTTCTCCTCAGTAGATCTGATATCACTATCTTGTTGTGCATCGTCGGTATCATGATGCAACCACTTTGATACATTCATATTTGCTTTTTCAATTGTGTCCAACAATACTTCTAATTCAGAAGCACAAATATCCGTTTCTTGTGTTTGCGCACTTTCATTGTTTACTTCCTGCTCATTTTGCGGTGTTCTAGCCAATGCTTCTTGTAGTCTCTTTTCAGCTGCTCATTCTCACCAGTTCGCTGAATCAAACGTTGCTGTAATGTTTTATTTTCATTATCTTTAACCTCTAATCCTTTCTCCTTATCAAGTAACTGTGATTTATAGTAAGATTCAAAATCTTCAAACGAACCAAAAACTAAGCCATTTACATTTTCAAATGCTTCTTGAATCTTATCTTTCTCTAAAGTTTTTATATTCAGTTTAGACTCACTCTCTGCAAGTTTATTACGCAATAAGGTCTCATTTTGGTGGGAACATTGAATTTCTGATTTTAGGTTGTCATGCTCCTCTGTTAATCGTTTACATTCAATCTTCTGCCTTTCAATATTTTCCTTTAATAAACAAATCTCACTCTCTAACGTTTTTGTGCTTTCCTGTGAATTACTTAAATCTTTCTCCAAGTCTCTCACAGTCTTCTGAGAATCCTTATAATGCTCGGAAACTTTCTCCAGTTCTTCATTTAAACTGTCTAACTTCGTTTTGTGTTCAGTAATCGCGGTTTCTGCATTCCGTAGTTTGTTTTGTAGATCAATAATCTGCAATGTAGCTTCTTTTGAAGCCAAATCAGACAAGTTTTGATGTCTTTCCGCTAACTGCGTAAGCTGTGTATTTGAATCTTGTGACAGACGGTTAGTTTCCTCCATAAGCCTCTGGATCTCGTGTTCAGCTTTGTAAACTTTAGCATCATTCGAAGACTTCCATTTCAAAATAAATTGATGAAGACGTGATATGTCTAAGGTAATCTCACTAATGTTTGGTTGTGCATCGTCGGTTGAAGACATGCTACTTTCTCCAATCCCGTCATCAGTATTGCCTTTTTCATTATCCAGTTCTCTGCTGATCATCTGTTTTAAAGCTGATATTTCAGCATTCAAGGCGATCAAGGGATCAATTCTTTCATTCTTACAAAAGGAGAAAGAAACAGTAAATTATCATTCTAATATTCCTTATTTGACTTCAGTTCTATCTTTTCTCAGACATCCAGGGCTATTAAAACCTCGTAATTCTACTAAAATTTTGGCTCGCAAATATAGTATTTTATATATGATATATTACGTTATATTCTATATAAATTTTATAACATACATTGCATATCCGTAGCACTTGTTCGTTCTTAAACTGCATAACAGAACTTACTGTAATATAAAAGTCATTTTATGTAAGCAAAATAACTCACAGTGAAATCTGTTGTACTAACAATACTTTCAGCACTGTTTCGTCTTGTTCTCTTCTCATATCCATCTGTAAAGGTTCTGACAACAAAAATAATAATTAACATTGTATTCTATAAGTGAATCAGGGATCAATGCCTGTATGTTTTATGCAGACATACACCTCACTTAACATTTTATACAACTCATTTAACCAAATATATGTAACCACCAGGCCCAGGGATTTCACCAAAGCGTTTCTGGCATTTCCGACTAAAAGCTTTGCGCTTCATCCTTTTAAGATTTCCAGATAAATTTTCAAACAAATTAACATTTGAAGTTCCTTAGTTTACACAGGTAGCACGCTGTAATTGCATTCTAACCAAACACCTGTCCAATACTATTAAGGGCATTCGGTACACTATTGCCGCTAGTGAACAACATACATGAACCTGTGTACAAAAACGCACTGAATGACGTTTCCTCAACACATAATGCAAACATCCACAAACCTTCCAAAAGACGGCCATGACATATCCAAGTCACAGCCTGTACAAGATAGATGAAACTCCAACTCATTCAAATCATATAATTTTCCAATCAAAGCAGCACTAAGTGAGGTATTTAACAGCAATGCTTCTGGTGTATACCACTCCCTAAATTAAAATAAGAACAATGTAAGCGTCTTACCTCATGCATACTGACACAAGAACACCAAAATTACCGGAGGGACACTAGATTTGGTTTGATTATTACCTCGCTAGGTATGTTTTCATCAGCGTTTGTGTGTATGTGAGTCTGTCATTGGTCTGCATGTCTGTATGTATTTATTACCACCTGGGGCCTCTGGTTGTTTATCCATCTAACATACTGTATATAGTTACATTAACCAGGCTATGGTAGAAAGTGAGATATAATGATCAAGAAATGTAACCAGTAATATTACGTTAACCCAAATAGTGTTATTTCTAGATTAACCAGGAAATTTTAACCAGAGTGTTTCTAGAGTGTATACAGCTATTTCAATTAAGGTTGTCCACGAGCAAAGCGGAAAAGTCGAATACGAGCGCGAAAGGCTGCTGGGAATCACTTTGAAAATTCATTCATTTGTTAACGATTCCCAGCAGCCTTTCGCGCTCGTATTCGACTTTTCCGCTTTGCTCGTGGACAACCTTAATTGAAATAGCTGTATGCTGCAGGGGCCGGTTGTTCAAAGTTGGATTAGCACTAACCCTGGGTTAAAATTTAACCTGCTGTGTTAGTTATGCTGTTTGTGTATTTCTACACGTCTGTTTATTTCAAAACTTCAGAGAAGTACACTCCTATCGATCCAGACAAGATCTCTGAAGAAACATTTCCAAATTTATAGACAAGCTGTCAGGAAGTTTGCTTTGAATTTTAGGTAAACCTAGGGTTAAACTAACCCAGCTTTGAACAACCAGCCCCAGGAATGTATGTATTGTACCATAATTACAAGCATTGAAAATATTAAGAATTAACCCACTTACGTCTTTCTCCTGCGCATCAGTGTCCTCTGAATGGTATCAGCCAACGTTTTTTGAACCAGACAATAACGGATCAATGCTCTTCCTTTTCCTTGCACTGTATGTAACTATAATGAAAATATGTTTCAATGTTTAAAAAATTCCACGCTAATACGATTATTATACTTCACATACAGGAGCATCTCAAAAAAATAGAATATTATCTCGCCATTTAAACTAGTCTGCGCACATGTTTGTATTGTAGTATATATGATGTTAAGACAAAAAAATTGCAAATATTTTATTTTTACATGAGGGAGATGCACCTGTATATATAGTATAATTTTTAAAAACTGTCACTAATTATTCAGGATAAAATCCTGTGACAGCCCTCCCAATTACTAACATACTTTGCAACGTCGCTGGTTAAGGTAATACCGCGGTCAAACGTCCGCAGCCTCTGCTTGTATTCGAAAGACTGGAAATAGTATTGTCTCCACGAGGCTCTAGCAAAAAGTGTGAAGAACATTAGGAGAGCGTAAACTCAGTGTAGCATCCTTTTGTTGTCAGAAGGAAAAAGCGACGAAATTCCAGAGCTCATACCTTTAGCTGTTACCTTATAGTAAATGCTTTTCTTTCCCGTATTTACTCGACCTATTTGCTATTACTTAATTGGCAGACATTTTCCTTGCCATTTTCGTAAACTCGCTTGACATGCGCTTGAAGTTTCACTGCGGTATTGGTTAATTTAAGGCGACCTCAATTACAAGAAAAAAAAACATTTCAACATTCTCTTCTTTTGTATGATGATATACATCATACGGCCATGACATTCATGAATGTATGTGTATCATCATACAGGTGCACTTGTCACCCCATGCCCTGACACCCAACATCCTCACCATAAACGGGGGGCGGGGGCATCTAGGACCACAACCGGTGGACGACTATCAACTTTGTCATCTTAGATTGGACGACTATCAACTTTGCATTCTTGTTTACAAAGTAAACAGATGTCTTATTTAAATAACATAAAAGCTTTGCATTGAATGGTTGGGAAAAGAATGAACAAGTAATATCATCTAGGCGTAAAGATATCTCGTCATAAATACACTGACGCGAATAGATTAGTCTAATGTTAAAATACACTGCATTTGCCGTCGATAAAATAAAAGCATGCCTAGTGTACACGGATGGTCGAAATTAATAATGCAAATGATGTAACATGCATGACGTTTTCCAGGAAACCAAGGTTTACTTTTGAATCTCGCTTAGATTCCTTTGTTGATGAGCGTCGTGTGCTTTAACGTTTTCGAGATGGTATATCATCTTATCTTCTCGATTGCTTTCTGTATTCTAGTTTGCAACTACATTAGTCTTGTTCTAACTGCTGATCAATGTAAAACCAGTGCGGATTGCAAACAAGGCTCCTTTCGAAAAACTTGCTGCGGCGGTATCTACAATCCGGAGCGAAGTTGCACGTACAGTTCGTGTTTGTATAGCCATTGCTCAAGCGATGATGACTGTAGCGATCCATCCGCCTTGTGTTGCCGCTCTAACAAATGTGTAAAAGACGGTTGCTCAGGATGTACTGAGGATTCAGATTGTTATATCACCCATGTTTGCTGCAAGAAAACATTTCCTTTAGATCAAACTGTGTGCGGTTCGAATTGTATGAACCAAACTTGCAACTCGAATAATGACTGTGCTGAGTATGGAGAGTGTTGTCGTTTGAACAAGTGTGTTGATACAGGTTGTTACGATAAATGTCAGACAAATTCCAACTGCCATTTAGGTGAATATTGTTGCAAGAAAGCAACTTACTGGTATCCGCAGAGAGATGCTGGTTGTAGTAAAAGCTGCGTTGGCGAGATTTGTAGCACTGACGAAGACTGTGGGAATCCAAATGAATGTTGTATTTCTAACAAATGTGTTGATCAAGGTTGTTCTGGATGTACTGCCAACTCAAACTGCAGTACCGAACATTATTGTTGCAAGAAAAGATATTGGTATGAACTTAGTGAGTGCAGTGCACACTGTATTGGAAAATCTTGTAGCACGATCGAGGACTGTGGAGCTCCAAATGAGTGTTGTATTTCTAACAAATGTGCACGTGTTGATCAAGGTTGTCCGGGATGTACTACCAACTCAAACTGCAGTATCGGACATTACTGTTGCAAGAAAAGAGATTGGTATGAACTTAGTGAGTGTAGTGCACACTGTATTGGAAAATCTTGTAGTACAAGCGAAGACTGTGGTGGACCGGGTGAAACTTGTGATTCGGATTATAGATGCGCAAAATCGAAGAACTCTTACCCACGATGGCTGATTACTGTTATAATGAGCTCAGTTATATTCCTTATAGCTGTTGGCGTTGTGGTGATTTGTTTTTTTAAAAGGAGACGATCAAGAAACGCAATTCAAGCGAACAGAGCTACCATACCTCTAGAAAACACCCAAAACCAAAGCAGAGAAATTCAGAATCCTGGGACGACCATTCCTACACAATACCATGGAACTGGATTACAAAATCAGCCACTGCAAAACGACAACGTAGCACCCCACAATCCATCTCACCGCCTTCAAGGGAATGGGACACAAACTTCTCAATACCAAGGTCCAATAGACCAGAATCCTAGTTTACATCAAAGAAACAAAAATCCAGGATTTTACAATCCTTCCGAAAACCACCATCATCAAGGAAACCGAGCTTCATATCGTACCCCATACGAAGAAAATGTGTTCCAAAATCCACTGTACAATCGCACATACCATCACGAACCCCCAAATGCAGCAGCACATGGCACTCAACAACAAAATCCGCAGTTTTATCAAGAGAATATCCTTCCTCCTCCTTATAATCCCCATTATCCAAACATACATCATTAACCGTAGAAAAGAGATCGATATGTCATTAATGTGTTTTTATACACTGATCTAGAAATCAGACAGGATAGTGCATGGATTGTTGAGTTATGTAGAAAATGAAATTTAGTTTCATACGTTTAGTTTTGTCAATTTTAGTTTAAAACTTTATTAAAGAGGATAAAACACGTGACAGTATTTGTTACTATGATGACCCTGTGGCCAGTCCAATATTTACAGTTCTAAAAGTTCGTCTTGTTTTAATTCAAATCTTGAATTTCAAGATGACATTATTCTTCAAAAATATTTGCTAATCCAAAACTATATTCGTAACGGTTTTAGAGCGCTTAAGATTCACAACACCGTTTACGGCAAACGCTAACGGCAAACTCTGAATCGATTTTCAGCATACGTTCCGCACGATATCTGTGGCTAAGTATATAATTTCTACTTCAATTTTGATATACAAACTGTTCTAACTTCTAACTTCTATCATTGTTCTCACAATGCGATTCAAATTTTACCGTTATAGCAGTAACTCAGTAAGCGGTTTGCCGTAAACGTGAATCTTACTGTCGTTCCAATTGAAGTGTTCCTCAAATATTGATTCAATACATTACCTCAGGCTGACCAATTCATTTCGTCAAGTTCCTCGAGATATTCATACACTTCCTGTGAAAGAGCCAATTCCAAGTATTTGATCATTTCTGGTCACTTCCTTTCTATTTATGATTGGTTAGTTGCACAAACAACAAAGGTGATTGGTGCATTCAAACTATTCAACAGGAAGTTTACAATTATACTAGGAAGTGTATGAATATTTTGAGGAACTTGATCAAATGAATTGGTCAGCCCGAGGTAATGTATTGAATCAATATTTGAGGAACACTTCAATTGGAACGACAGTAAAGTTTCTAACTTGAAGTTCAGTACAGTCGTTTCAGTTTTTAATACCTGTAGTCCGAACAGTAAACAGAAAGTAAAATTCGCCCCCTATAACAAAATCAATATCAATCCGAAAGCTACGGCCATAGATCAGTCATGCGAGAAAACGTCACACCATGATTTGGTGCCATTGCCAAAATCCATCAATCACTCACAAGAGGAATTAACCCTGACAAAGGTAGTTTTCCCTGTTAGGAACAATAGTGAACAGTCGAAAATAGGCGAGCTTTCCCATACGAGAAGCCGTACAAATCCTATTCAAAAGGAACAAAGCTGTCATTATAATGTTCCTGGTAGGCAATCTTGCTCTAGTTATTTACATGATCGTGGTCAACAATTTCGAAGCATTCCAGTACGTATCACTCACCGCTCACTGCCAGTGAACCCAGAGAAAGTAAATAAACATAGACGTGCGTACCGGAGTCAGGTTTTTCGACATCGACATCAGACGGACTGGCTCAGGCATCTGGAGCTGGTCCGCAAAGTAATTCGGTCATAAACTGTTTCTATTCTAACCTAATTGTTGTGCCTACGGTCCCTTCTACTTCTAAATGTGAACTCACAAACTTATTTGATTTTTCCCTTCTTAATGCCAGATCGGTTAGAAACAAGACTATGATTATTAAAGATTTTGTTGTGGATAAAGATACTGATATTCTTGCTTTGACGGAAACTTGGCTCCCTCCAAGTGGGAACGATTTGATTATTGGGGATCTATGCCCAACAGGTTATAGTTTTCTGCATACACCGAGACATGGATCAATCGGTGGGGGCGTTGGTCTCTTATTCAAGGAAAGTCTTAATATTAAGCGTAATGTACAGGAGGTATTTAGGTCATTTGAATACCTTGACAGTTCTTTTTTGAACTTTCTACATATTAGAATTATTGTTGTATATCGGCCGCCTCCTTCATCGGCTAACTCATTGACATCTACTCTATTCTTTGAAGAGTTCTCATCCTTTTTGGAAGGAATTATTGTGTCACCCGGGCAACTCTTGATAGCTGGAGATTTCAATTTTCATCTGGACAATCCTAATGACCCTCTTACCAAACGGTTCGTGGATCTTCTCGCTTCCTTTGATTTGAAGCAGTACATTTCTGGATCAACACATGCAAGTGGTCACACACTGGATTTAATTATAACGCGATCTGAAGAAAACATTGTTAACCATTACAATATCTTCGATCCTCTGATTTCTGATCATTCAGTTGTGCATTTACAACTATTGATTAGGAAACCGAAGTTTGTGAAGAAACATTTGCTTCTTCGTAATTTGCGGGCGGTTAATATTCATAAATTCAAAACGGATGTACTAAATTCTTTTCTTCTTAAGAATTTTACGACTATGGATTTGGTATCATTGGTGAATGAGTATGATTGTCTTCATAC